GTTCAGTATGATTAATCAGCATTTTATGGGTATTGACAAAATCCGACCGATCCACCGTCGAAACTGCGAACTTTTGATAAAAAATTTCGTTTTTCCTCAAATACTCCTAAACCGTTAGATTTACGAGAAAATTGCATAAGACCTTTTTTGTAGAGGATGACGAGATCTACAATTTCTGTATAAGAACTTTTCGCTAGCATCAATATTTAACGAGTTATTGACGAAAAACGAAAAAACAGTTTTTTGCAAATTACTCGTAAACTGTTGAAGCTAGCGAAGAATTTTTATACGGAAATTGTAGATCTCGTCGTCCTCTACAAGAAAGGTCTGATGCAATTTTTCCGTAAGTCAAACGGTTTGGGAGTTATTGGCAAGAAACGAAAATTTCGCGAAATCTTAAGGGATACCCCTTGGAAAAATCTCGGAAAAATTGAAAAATTTTTTTTCGTCAAAATATCAAAAAATGCTTCAATGGGAAGTTGTAGATACTACTATTACCCACTAGAAAGGTCGTATACAATTGTTTTCTATCTCGAATACTTCAGGAATAATTAATTAAATAATTCGTTCAACACCAATTATTATTCCTTAACGAGTAGAGTTAAAAGGAAACTGAATAAATTTATTTTTTATTTAACAACTCCAGCTACGTACCGATAATAATTGAGTCTTCTTAACTCACAATCTTGTGAAGTATAAAATCGTAGTTTTACCTCTCAAACTAGAGTCCACGCTCAACCAACAATCTACCGAATCTGTTGGTCATGAGATCATAAAAGCCAACACCTTAAGTGAACCCACTATTCTTCCTTATACCGTGCTTCGGTGATAAGAAAACCGTGTGGTGTGTTGGATAAGTAGAACAAACCAGCGCAGGTTCAGACGTTCGCTGACGTGAAAAGACGTGGGTCGACGATCGTTTTTAATGGCCATCGAGAAGTCTAATGAGTGCGATTCCTAATCCGTGGCAAATAGACGTCGGGCTTATTTGCTCTGCCCGAGGCGATATCGATCGGAAGCTCGTCGCACGAAAATTGACGTGACAGGGTTAATTGAAAGGGCGGTACGGCCGCGGGGGTTGAACTATCGAATTCCAAAGAACGTCAATTATGCCCGTGGCTGACGGTGGACATAATAAACGTTAAACGTCTTGCAGCTCGACGATTTCACGCTTATCAGTCGGCCGTCTCGTTAATTAAGACACTAACGAACTCCTCGGTAATCAGAAAACGTCTCTGAACGAGACAACTAAATGAAACGATGAATGTAGGTTAAAAGAGCGAGCGAAAATTCGGGACGGTAGTTTGATTATTGACCAGCGTTCTGGTTAATGGGGCTCGCGATTCACCCGATGCCCCTATATTCATCAGTCATCTATGACAATTCAACGGCTGCCTCGGACGCGGCTGTATCGATTGTCTGTCTATTGGAATTGACACGTGCGAGGATAATTGAAGGTGTCAAGTAGCCCCGACTCGCGTGTTGCGGACCGTATTCAAATGTGAAATACCTCGAGATGAATACCCGTGACCCAATAGCACTGCCATAACTATTCTTCCAAACTCTGCCCTAATTCAACCTGTTTCAAACAAACAAAACCCAGTTCATGTAAATTACTTTCACTCGTTCGCTGTTCCAAGTGTAATGGAACCGAAAAGTGGCGGACACGTCCCCAGTCATGTTTGCACAATAATTCATACCGTGGATGAAAAGTCGCGGGGATCGAGAGAGATTACTTCGTTCCTTCTCGCTCTAATCGTACCGTCGTCCGTCATATTTCACGGTGATCCACGTAAGCCGGGCCGTCACGCCACCGTTCAACGGAAATAATCGCGTGGACCAGGTATCACGGCGATTCGTTACAACCGACGTGTAATCGTGCGAAATTCCGATAAATCGTTTAGCCAGAAACACGATTTTTGTTTCGTCACTTGATGCCTGAAAATCTATGAAGATTACGTTTATTCGAAATTGTTGAAAGACATGAGAACGCGCTGATTCCATAAGCTCTGTCGAATTTAATGCAATAAGAAGATGATCTCTCATTTCGTATGATAATTCCTATCGACCAGTGTAATACTCTTATCGAATTAAATTTGCATCGTGTGTATTATTAGGTGGCACTCGCAGGAGCGATTCCCAGCTAGAATGTGTGCCACGAGCGTGAATTGTTTATGGCACCTGCGCCCGGTCCGAGTGACACTGCTATTGTGCCCGGACGTTTTCGTCCGTAGAGACTTTTGGCAGGATTTCATGAAAACGTCACCGATTCCTCTGTTCGCGACAGTCCCCGATGGTTTAGAAAGTATTGACCGGTCAGTCCGGCCTGTTAAACCGCGACGTGACAGGTTTTCATATCGTCAATCCGAATTGCCAACAGGATTAAGAGACATTTCTTTCAACGGTTAAATCATCTCTCCTGAAATAATGAACGGAATTAGAAGAGGGAACGTGTGTTAAGTCTAGAAACGGGCCATTAATCCCGCGTTTAACCATGTACAGACGTGGTAAAAAGAGGCTGGCTGGATGAGCTTCAAAGAATAGCACGCAATTATGCGAGGACCAAGGTGGGGCTACAGAAGAGAATCCAATTTGTCTGCTGCTCGAGATGACAGGACTTTCCAGGTCAAAAACAGTGTCACCAGGGTGGATTCTCATCCCTGGCCACTTGGCAGTTGCAACTGTCTCTGTTGGGACGTAGAACTGGTCAGAACAACGAAATTCACTGATCCGGTATGAGCGCGGGGTCAGCGAAGAATTAACCCAATATAAACTTAAATTCCGCTGATAGCTTATATCAGATATTCACGTTACTCGGACCTAAATACCGGGATTTGTCTGTAGACGGAGTAATCCAATTGAGGGTCGCCCGGGAGTGAAATATCACCGAACGAAATAAATCTGGGGACCCGCTCCAATCAAATATAATCCAAACGACAAGCTCGAAACCCTATCGGATTAAACCGGTACGGCGAAGAGTGCAGCTGGCTGTCATACCCACGGAATTAAACTTGCTATCTATCCAACGGAAAAAGCTCCGCGGGTTTCCTGCGGGCAAACAAAGCCGGGAACTTCGCGACAGATTATGTATTACCGGTGATCCTAGTTTGCGATTGGGAATACTAGACTCCGGAGAACTCCGGCTAGTTCAATCGTAGATCTGGCTCTCTCTCGGGGCTGAAATAATTGCTGGGGGTAATTTTAGCCGAAAGCTGTCGAGTATCATCCTTAATACGCGCGCCCACGGGTGACGACGATCATAATTATAGAAGGAATGACGAAATTCTCATCGGCCAATACGTGAACTCGAGTGACGCGTCCTCCCTGTTTATTTTCGGTCAATTAAATCACCGACCGCTCTGGAGACTCTAGATCGCTCAGGAGGATCGGTTTTGGATCATCGGTTGATTAATATCCTCGAGAGTTCTTGATATTTTTGGATAAGGAACGAGGTTCATATACAAGAGATATCTCTGGAAATAGGGGCAGGCAAGTGGCTAGGATCCTCGAGCGGTTCCGTTTCACTCCAGTCCTTCGGGTCAAGAGTTGTCTCAGACATCATGTTTACCGCAATGAGTTTATTTTATCCCAGATCAATTTTTAAAAAAATTTCAGGAGTGCAGTTAAACTGATTTTTACTGTTGGAACAGAGCCTTTCTCCCAATTAGTCAGCTTCGGTACCGACGATGTTCCATGCACTTGACCAAATTGGAACGATCGACTAAATCGGCTGATATCAAGTTGCATCGCGGTTTCCGATAACGCTATCAAACGATACACTCGTTTCTATGATTCAATCTATGAGCAGGTTGAATCGATTCGGGAGTAGGACACGGATACCAGGTATCGCTATCCGGTACAAACTGTGTCGCGCTTAGAACGACGATTACACAGGTTCGCGAATACTAATTTGTTAAGCGACGCCGGATTGAGGAGGGCACCGAGTAAATTATACGGAAGTTTAATGGCGCGATAATTACTCTGTCTATCCTCACGGCAGCCGCATTAATGGAGCTCCGTCAACCTTTATAATAATGCAGAGAGTAAATATACAGTTCACCTGCTCGAGACACTCCATCAGCATTTTCAACGTAGACTCAATCTTTCTGAATTATATTTCAGTCTTGTTTAAATAAAATTCGTACTGTAATTTAACTGGATTACATTTAAACCGTAAATAATGTATCTAGCATAGTAACAGCTTTGTACATCAATTTATAATAATTGTATCTGGCAAAGTTTTAAAGATTTTAATTAAAATATTTTCGATATTATTTATATATAAATATTTCCAATAATATAAATATTATCTCAAAGACTCTCAAAATATTAATTGAACAACTGAACTACTGGAACACGGTGTATATTCAACCAGAGTCAATTTTTAATAATCGAGTCTGGAAATTTTAAAGATTCCAGGCTGCTGGAAAGGTGACTCGATTAGGTGAACCGGCGTGCCTAGCACTGGATGGCACGAGGTATTCAAATACCTGAATCGAAGTCGAAAACGAAGTTTTGATCGCGGCGCATCGGTAATAGTCGTTGATTAATTTATCATCGACCACGGCTGACCGTAATGGCATTATTTAATGACGTTATTTGGTCGTTTAATCGAGTTTCCATGTAAGCTGAAACCTAGCCGCGGCTTCTGCCGACGTTCCCGTTTTTAAAAGTCATCGTAAACTTTATTATCCCGCCCCGCGGTTGCGCCGCATTTGGCTTCCCCGTTTGCAAACAATTTATTCCTACTCACTATTAGCATAATAATAGTTGCAGCTGTTTCGCAGATCGAGATTAGATACGGCCTGAGTAATGCCACGTGATCGTGATAATTATAAAAAAAAAAAGTCTAGGTCAGCTTTCGCATTTTCATAATTACAATCTAGACATATGTATATGTATACATATTTTACATATATATATATCAATATTTTTATTCCGTGAATTCGCTCGTTTCGCATTGTCGAGCCGGAAGTTAAATCTTTGAACCGTGATTTTAAACGGTTCAGAACCGGACGACTCTCGCACTCGGCGAGGGACAGAAGGTCTGTAAATGTTCACCGGGTGGAGGAGCGCGATAATGGCCGCGGTTGGTGACAGCAATTAAGCGAAACTCGTTGGGAAAATACGCGGCGCGACGTTCGTTCGGATTTTTTTTCGCGATCGATTTCACAGCAGCCCCGGATGAGCGGCTCATCGGCTCGTGAAATGTATTAGAGAATTATTGGAGCGTTCTCCAGTAATCGAAACCGCAATTAAACGAATTAATGCTGGATGAAAAATTTCGATCTCTATCCCAGCGAGTATACATAGCGTTCGAGGAAGTACAGCGCTTCCTGGCACGGGGCATCAGGGTCGGTGCCAAGGTCGCACGATCGCCAGCGTTGGCCATCGCGAAGCCTCTTGGTAAGGTCCGCAGGTCGACGACTGTGACAGGTGGCCAACGGGGGTTAACGGGCTAGAGCAGGAAACGGTGCAGGTTATATTTAATAAAGGAGTCTGGTTGCCACGGTAACTGCGAGGTGAACGAGCGCGAGTATTGATTCAGCCCACCTGAATTCAGGTCAGCCCCTGACTAAAACACCTTCCTTCCCCGTGTAACGCGCGAGGGTCCTCCCCGGTCCGTTCCGTTTCCGTTGCGTTCCCACCGGTCTCTAACAGTTGAATTTTTCCGAGCCGACCTTCGGTCCGACCCCCTTCGCCCTTGTCACCCTCGGGCCGCGTGACACGCGAGCTGCATGCATTATGGATGTAGTCCATCTTGATACGGATGCCGCGCGACCAACCACCGGACTCGGCCGTTGAATCGCCGGCAAACCGATAAGAATTGAACGTTGATCATAGAAGAGACGAGTGTTTGTCCGGGACTTTGTCGTCTGGATTTTTCTCCTGACCTCGCCTCTCATTTCTTCGGGTGTTCACCGATCGAGGCTTTCCTTCTCTGACCTTTTAATTTCTCGGTTCGTCAATTAATCTATGCGGGTGATTTCTGGTAATGAACGATTGTGGCCTCGCGGTTCAATATTCCGCGAGTAACGATGTGTCACAATCGAGCAATTCCGGGTCACATATTGCCGCAGATCACCGTTTGATTTCGAGGTCCATAAAGGGAGCCAATTTGCATGGAACCGTACGCTCCATGAAATTCTATTAACTGGCACGCAGAATAATAGCCCGCAGGAATTAAAATTTAGCACTCGTGACTATTGTAATAATAGTAGCTATTGTAGAAATCGTTTGACGCTTCCTTTTCCAAAATCCATTTGATTTGTAATCTTATGATCGACGACCCGTTTAATAGGGACTCAAGTTTGCAACAATAACTTCACGCGTTGTTCCCAGTGAACGCTCATTACCCGCGGCCGCGGTAACGCAGTCAACAATGCTATCGCTAATTCCGCGCACGCTACGTGCGGGTTACTTCCCTCGGAATACGATTATCATAAATAGCCGGCAGACGCCGCAAACGATTCTGCGGAGCGCGTATTATACAACTGATCTAAGTACTGGACGGGTTCGTAAATATTTTACGCGGGCACCGTGAATTAATCACGGGTTTAAGGAGAAATGGGTCGGGCAAGAAAATGAATTCCCAGATAGATTCGTAGCCGGATCTTCTGCAAATTAATGTGTAATCTCCTTTTCAAATATGTGCATCCGTTCGTGGATTAACTCGCACTATTCCAGCCGGGGAAAACCTCCGTACATGCTGCTATCCAGTTTTGGATTTAATTTTCCGGATACTGTTGACCGATTTCCAGAACGTGCTTACAATAACTCTACCAGAGCGTATAAATTACTGATACTACGGGCTCGGTAGATAATTTTAGTGTCTACCTATCGTTGGAAATGATGAATACCGAGGACATTTACATAGCAGCTAAGGAACTGTGGAAATGTGGGAATCGCGTAATGCCATGGTAAGTGAATCCATCGATCCCATTTCTGATTGAAATCGACTGGAAAATTAGGTGAACTTTACACGAACTAAGCCTAGTCTCGATGTTTAAACTGCCTTGGACTTAACGTAAACAGGAGCCGTGGTCTGGGCCTAAGACACCGGCCACCTTTAAACTTCAACAGTTCAAGTTTCGCATTAGCAAATTTCTACATTCTTCGCGGAGTAGCCGAGCCTCCCGCAAGAATCTCTCTCCATCGAATCGTGGAAGCAAATAGCGAGAAGCAACAACCCGGCGCCAATGATCTGAATAAGCATCCAGGTCAGCACACGTGACAGGCCAAGAAGATTGTTTGGACCCGGCACGGTGGCCACTCGGCGCGGCTGTTAATACTGAATCCACGCCAGCAGGAAAGCTCTATTTATACCGCGGTAACGAGGTCTTGGATGTAATCTTGCGAAACGCCACGAGGAGCCTTCGTTTCCACGAGGAACAGACCCAACTCCCATAATCCCTATTCGGCGAGATAACTCGACTGAATAAAAACACCTGGCTTAAACAGTATTAATAGAGTCTTATCAGAGATCAAACCGTCTTTCATTAAACGATTTACAACATATAATCGATCCTCTTTTAATAAAACTGACTGCGTATCAAAATGAAATCGTAAAAAGGTGGGAAATCATAAAAATACAACAAATGGAAGTATCTATCAATCCCTTTGATTCACGTCGGTTCGGGGGTCAGTGAAAAAGTGAAGCTAACAGTCATCTCCGGTGGCGAGTGTCCAGGCTAGGCTGGAAATTCGATTACCGGCTACAGGGCTGGTTCAAAGGCTGGACGGCTGATGAACCGCGACACGTGAACCACAACCGATTCCAAAGGTGAAATTGGATTCTTGATGGCGATCATCGGTCGCGGTTTGTAATTATTGAATTTGATGCCTGTCGCGATTATGGCGCCCACCGGCTGTCCCACATTCGATATTTATCACGATCGTCGCGTCACTGGGGTTTCCCCGGCTTAAGCTCGTTTATTATTGGGACAGGAACGAGGTTCTGCCTCCGTGACACGGAATTTGAAGAATATGCTTTCGCGACGAAATTGCGAACAGAACCGCGACCGCTCGTTACGCGTTTATACATCGACTCTGCATTTGTTTGCTATCGATTGTTCTCGGTGCCTGGGTCGAACAAGGGCGACAATAATAATAATTATTCACGACGTAAACGACGCGACGCGTCCCGGTGACACAAATGCGCGTCACGCGAATGACAATCCACTTTTCTCGAGTATCCGACGTTATCGCGCTGTTTTATTCCGTTTCTTTTTTTGTTTTGGTTATCTGCACTCGCGTCCGTCCAGCTTTGTAATCCCTTTCCGCCTGTTCGATCGCACGGCCGTTAGTTGATTGGTTCCGACCCGACGGTATTCCATAAATTGATATCTTCCCGACTCCTAGAAAAGCGGCGAAAAAATATCCGGCGAATTAATCAACGTGAAACGATTCTGTAATTTCATTAGCCACTTTCGTTTCGTGATTCCCAGGCGGACCATTAATTTAGCATGTAACCAAATTTTCGATTAAACCGCCCCGCCGGTACGACGCGAACGAATAATTCATTCCGGGACGGAGATGTATCGGATGTAACGTGATTACAGACCCGGCTCGGTTTTCTCGCAACCCCTTTGGTGGTACATTTGTTTAATGCCTCGCCTGCAGAAAAGGCTTCCCTTAACGTCATTCAAACATGAACCAGTACTATAATCCCGGAGACCACCAAGGAAACAAGCTTACAACGAATATCCCATCTCGCGTGGAAAATGTTTTATCCTCTGCGAAAAAGGAGTCGTGCCTTTGCAAGCAAAACGAATTCAAACGAGCGTTCCAGCCGAGCTGCTTTTCAAGCTACGGTACGTAAAAAATGGGATTCCGTTTATAAATATTTGAAATCATGAACTGTCCTCTTTATACGGAGCAAGGAGGTGTAGCAGAACTATTCTTGAATTTATTGGATATTGAAATCGATCGGCTTTGGTAACACCGTTCGGGCAGGGGTTAATCAGGTAATACTGATGCGGAAGATCGTTTTTTGAGGAGGATAAAAGCCGTGTCTGACAAAGAGCGTTGACGGAAGGACTTCCTAATAGAAGCCCCGGTCCGTTATAATTAATCTTCACTCGAGGTGGCGTGATTGGCCTCAAAGGAAACAGACGCTCCGTGAAAAATGCGGGACGAAAACTCTCGCCCCGGGAAAAATCGTAGTTTCCTTTTTTTACTTAAACCAAGTTCGATAGCTCTTCACCTCGGAACTTTTTGCCCCTCTGATGAATAATGAATTCCATGCTTGAAACATTTAACGCTGGAACTACCTCGGGATTAGAATTTTACTTTTTCCCTTCGCCAGCGTCTTTGACTCGCGTGCTAGAAAAAAGAATACCGTTATTATTGATCCGGAAACATTTTCATGCAGCGTTGGCTACGGTTTTCTTTGTAGAAAGTTCACCGAGGGAGTTACCAATAAAAACGTCCAAGAGTCAGACCTTCCTGATTGGTTATGTCCATCACGCGCCACTCAGAAAAGAAATAAAAAGGAAACGACTGGCGGAGTAGTTCGGGGTATCCTAACAGTGACAGAGCAATTATAAATCGGGAATCCGGCCATCCAGCGCCGTTTCGCGGAGCACGTGTACACCGTTTTATGGATGCAATAACTCACAATTATGTCATCGCGTCGAGTTATTTTCACGCGGCACACGCCGAATTCGTTTCTCCCTCTTTTACACGGAACCGTTTCCCCTTACTTTCATTCCGAGATTCGACCGAGCAAGAAGGAAAATATTTTCTTGTAACACGACTTCCTTGCGGTTCCTCTGCGGAAGGAAGCATCATAAACTGAGGTAGCCCGGAGTATCTTTTTATTCATTTAACAAGAAGATCTCGTTGTTTGTTCACATATCACTGGACCCCGTCCAGTTACCCCGGAGGAACAGCAATTCCACGGACTTTGAACTCGCCTTTATGGCGACAGTTCCTATGCCAACACGATCTCCGCGAATTTCTACGATCCCTACGCTCGTTTTCCACGAATTTATCGTTTACACTATAGCCGTACGTTAAGTTCATTGCGAGGAGGTTGAACGTTACTGGCCAAAGGTGGTCTGGGGAATAGCCTCGTCGAAGTCAACAGAACCGATGCCAAAATCTCTTCCCTTCCGGTCTTCCTACTTCCGAGAGTTTTAAAATCCCCATTAATCCTGACAACGATAACGAACACAGTCTATCTGATAACATCAAGTTTTTATTATCCTGACGAAATCGTTTTTCGAATAGAAATTCTAATGAAATTAATTCGTCGAATAATTAGAGCGATTAAACCTAGCTGCTATTTTAGATAGTTAATAGTCCTCTTAAGAGGCTCGTTTCAGGTAGCTCTGAAACGGTTGGCATGTGATCCCCTATCGCAAAACTTGAATGCATGCTACGGGATCCACGATCCATTACACCGTGCCTTGACATAATAGGACGGCTCTGTGAACTATTAAGTACCCGACAAAACAGCCCCACATGAAATTATATGCGAGCGCATTGGATAGCTTTGATGGTGGCACGTGTAATCACATTGTTAATTGATCGCATGCCTGTGCGGGAGTATTACAATGTAATAAAGAGCCGTAACAGGATTGCTACAGAATAAAGACTGACAAAATCATGACGACATCAGAAAGCTTCGTAACAGGGAAACTTGAATACTACTCTTTGATTATTTTTTCTTGCTCGTAAAAATACAGGGGCACGAAATTGCTCTAGCGAATTTGAGAGTATTCTGTGTCACAGGCGCAACCTAATATTCTACGCGAGAAACCGACGGCGCGGTTCGGGGAAGAAAGTGGATTCTTGCATAGTGCGTGTCGGAATACGTAAACAGCGTAGCTACGTTCCATTACTTATACTTATCAGGCACGCTCGCTGCTAATGAGTCCCGGTAACTTTATTTAAACCGCGAGTGCAGCCTCAATGAGGAGGCACGAAGGGATTGGAAATTAGATTCTGAAAACGTCGTTTCGTGAGAGAAAATATCAGATGATACCGTCATTTACCATTGACTATTGAACTTGTATCAAAGCATATTTAATCTCGACCTTGAACCGAGTTACAATGCATTATGCATCGTCTGTGGTATTGAATACATTTCCCCCGCGACTTTATTCCCCCCGGTATTAATAATTCACCGTACTATGCGAATACCCCTCCTTGTATTCTTGCGCCGTTACGAGGGGAAAAAATTGACTTTTAAACATTATTCAAGAATTGAGAAAAGTAAACGGATGAAAAACGCGTAAGAAATAATTGATGTCTTCGACTTACTTCTTACATCGTTATGAATTTTCATATGCGTTGATTCTTCAGACACTTTTATATGTATAACAGATTGGTACAAAAAGAGTACCAATCATCTTACCATATTTGTGAATAGATGATGACACAATTTCCTGAATTTTTGTATTCAGTAAGTGACTAAGTATGAACACAGGGGGACATCAGATAGAAAATTGAAGCGATGAAGTACATGCGTAAGGACTCACCAGTTTGGACGAGTTTGAGCGCGGCCGCATTGTGCTGCTTGAGCGGCTCGTTGAGGCCCGGCGGGGTGAGATCCTTGAGAGGATTGGCGGCATCCTCGCCGGCGCCGCCGACCCGGCTGTTTTGCATAGTCTTGGCGTGTCGCTCGCGCCGAGTGCTCTTCGCGACCTCGTGGCTACGCGTAGCCTCGTTACGACTCGGCCTCCTCCTTCGCGTCTGTCCACGCTCCCGTCTCCTCTCCTTCTTCCTCTTCTTGTCCTCGTATCTCCTGTCGCTGACGGCGATCACGGTCACCTGGCAGCTCGGTCGGCGATCCCCGGTCAACACTCGGTCGGGATCATCAACGCGTACTGACGGGTTGTTCTCATAGATACGTAGCAGCTCGTCCGCCGGGTAGATGACGTACATGCCCAGCCGATGGTGTCCCCGTGGTGTCCGGCCTCGCGCGATTCCAATCTGCCGATCCGCTGGCACCCGTCGTAGCTGCCTCCGGCGCTGCTGCTCCTGCTGCTGCCGCGTATCTCGGCCGAGCCAACATCGCTGCCCGCCAATTCATCGTTTATGAGTCCGCCACGAGTCACGCTGCCAGGCCACGCGAACGCCCGCATCTTCTTGGCACCCGAGCCACCACCGTCCTGGTCCCCTTCCGCTCCCCTGTGGCGACGAAGATACTTACCAGCCTTCGGAACTCCTTATGGTGGTTGGACGTGCATCGATGACATCAGTGACCGCTCGGCTGAAACGAAACAGGTGGCCAATTATTTAAAAGCTGCGAGCACACCGAAACCATCGAGATTTCCTAACGTTTAAATAACCGTTGCACGTGGTTCTGGGTGATGAATATTAAACGAGACTCGTTTTAACCACGTTAAGGTCGCGTCGTTTGTCCCGAGGAGAAGCGTCACTGTTTGCCGGGTAAACGACTCATTCAACGTGTCCGGGTAAAGACGGTCTTCTTATTTCCGCGGCTCCGGAGGAGGCGCGACGTCATGTAAATCGTCTCCGGTGATTTAAATCTAATTTGAATGCGCCTTTCAGCGAACTCGACGACGACGACGACGACGACGACGAGGAGTATTCGAGTCTCGTTTAGTCGCGTGTTCGGCTTCATTTAACTTTACTTTACTACCCGCGTAATTTTATGTCCTCGTTTCGCCCCGGCAAACGCGATGTACGGTAAACATTACCGTAGAGCCTTCATCGATCAACCATAAATCTCCCATTAGAGGACTCACGGGAAAAGTTGCCCATTTAGGTGCACCAAAAAAGTGTGTACAGCCATAGGAAGATCGATCAATCAATCAGCGTTACGTTTCCGAAGCTCCTCTCTCACGGTATGATAATGGAGCACCTAACCCAGCACAACCTGTTGTACTGATCATTCGCCGGAATGAAGGAAATCGCATTTCGTTCGAAACTTTTTTTTTAAAAAAAAAAAGAAGAGGAAACTTAATAGAAGCCGAAGGATTCTGCAATCGTGGAATCTTACCGGGATTATCAACCTGATGAGGAATTAAAAATAGCAATTAGCCGTTTCATAAGTGTTTCTTTAAATCTAGAGATTCATGGCGCTCGACTAAAAAGCTACGGTTAATTCCTTTTAAAAGCCGCGCGGCTGGACAAGCGATGCAATTATTATTAGTACAGGAAAAAAGCTGGACGTATTAAATTCCCGCGGCAAAAGGGTCCATTTTACGTAATTGAACTGTTCCCAGAGCAAGCGTGGCGATTATTCTTTCACCCGCGCTGCATTCTTCGCAGAGAGCTATGCAAATTACGATAAGCCGTTTTGCGTAATTAACGCGTACCCTCGAACACCCCGCCAGGACTGATCATTATTAAACTCCGACGACCGAATCAACCATAAACGTTTCCGCAAACAATTCTAGAGCCGACGAAGAACTCGGACCTGGAAAATTGTCTTCTGCTACATTGTTTCCAGAGGAAAATGAATTTTTCCACAGCTTCGACGTCAATGGAAGTGACTAGGTCAGCGATCAAGAGTCGCCCGATCAATTTTTCTGTTCTACCTCAAAGGAAGGCTTCAATAAGGCAGACAGCAGTACGATTCTGTCTTCCCTTTGTCGTCGGTTTCCTACGAATCGCCCCTCGGTCGCGTTAAAAACACCCTTTGCCAAGGATTCCCCCCCAGTTTCCTATTAGTTGCTGACTTTATGTCTCTGGGAATGCTTCCCCTAGACTTTTTACGACTGTTACTGCCAGTATTTACGATCTCATCGCAACGATCCTGCGTCCCATCTGAAAGATGAATAAAAACTTCCTGATAATATTCTAAGTACGGACAATTTAATTCTTCGACACCTTGTTGACTCGCTAATTCTTTTTGCCACTCAGCCACCCTCGGAGCTCACTTCAACTATCATAACTTAATTCATTAGCCGGTAATGTAACCCGTGGGACGGAAGAGCAGAGCCTCTGAAAGCTCGCGGCACTTTAAACGCATCTGAAAAGTTCGGAAATCGTATTAGCGCGTCGGATTAAAAAGCCCCGTTTCATTCGGCTTGGCGTCAAATAATTGGACCACTTGCACAATTATCCCGCTCACTTTGTCCCACCGCCGGGAATCCCGGCTGTTCCTACGCGATACGCGAAGAAGCTATTTTCTAGAGAGATAGACAGACTGAGAGAGGCCAGTGCTATTGTTAAGAATTCCATTAACTTGAATTTATTAGAGCGATATTCCGCGCTCTCTAAATATTTAGAAAACCGTGAATAGCTGACATTCCAAATAGATTCTTTCAGCTACCATCACATTTAAAATATTCACTTCCCGCCCGCGGATTCGAGAAGGGGAATCCGATGCATGTCGCGTACCTAATAAGCATCTATCTCTGCATAATCGAACCGTACAGATACAATATGATACAACATTTCACGCACTCGGATCCAATAAATATTAATTGGCATTACCCCTCTCACGTTATGTTACACGTGCCGCCGTTTGCAATACGTTAAACGGAAAAACATATGAATTTAAATAATAATACACGGACGGCCGATACAATTAATCCGGTTGGAATTGTTCAAATAAACCGAAATTCATACGAGTATGAATGTTCCTACGATCTGGGCTCGTGTTTGCGAATCTAAATTTAAATTCGAGATCCAATATTTTTCCAGCGGTTCGCCGACTTGATCAAACGAAGAATTTTCCGTTGGCGACGCGACACCCTGATGTAATTCCGATTTCGATTACCAGCGGACTGGAACAACGCCGGCTTGAAACCGGAAACGGTAACCGGAGACAGTAAATATCGACGAGGCTCACCATTACGTGAACCATCGCGGGATTCCATTACAAATTACATCCGCAAAGAAACTTTGATCCTACCTCCCGTTACCATAAAGCGAACAGAATTTCAATACGTCGGCTCTTTCCGATCCCATTCATTTATCTCATGCAAATTCAATTTCCTAACATAAATCATAAATATTCAATCATAAGTACAAGGGAGACATGCGATACGTTATCGACAAATTCAATGGTACGAAAGAGTAAAAGCCACAATGGCGTCTCTTTTTATAGTCAAGCGATGTAGCTTGCATTGTTTCCTGGATCTACGAATATTAATATATTCCAAGTAGATCCTCGCTGATCTCTCTTGTAAACTGAGAACACGATGTAGGTATGTTAACGGAACATCTGTACCATTCTCGGAAAGCTAAAGAGATATCCATGGAAGGTAGTGTAAAGGAAGCGGAGTCAAGGATGCATGAGAAGGAAGCAAGTGTAGAAACACACAGAGAGTAAGCTAAGGAAGCACGCATAGAAATAAGGGAGTAAGCTAAGGAAGCAAACATACGAATCAAATCTCTACGATTAGATTTCCATTTCGAAATTCACACCAACTATGACTTCAGTCTCTTAATACGATGATTAAATCAAATTAGTTACCTTCCACTCAGGCGAAGGGGGTAGAATGTTCGGTGAACGGAATAACCCACTCTGGTTTTCACACCGCATTGATTCGCGAACAGATTTCGATACGTAATATATTACTTATTGCTCGCAAATAATACGAAAACGATTGAAAGACGAACGTACGTGATTCTACGATTAAATAACGAAACTCGTTCGGTAGAACTGCATACAATACTCACCTCGATTACTATTACTTCGCAATTACGATCGGCACACGTTCCGTTCCCGAACTTCTGCCGGCACGCCGTGAAGTTGTCTGAGCGAAGTTGCGGGCCGTTACGTGTTCGACGGGTTTCGAGAAAGATCTTCTAAGACTCTAAAAATTAAACAATGTATCAAGTAAATTGCCAATCGATCAGAATGAAAATGGTATACAATTTTATTCAATAACGGCATCCTAAACGACATTCTGCTACGTAAATTCGCAATTAGAAGTTGCTAATTAAACTGACCGCTTTCCCGGCAAACTGACTCCGCGGTCATGTGATCACAAACGGTTGAGATAGCGGAGACTAGATTTTGGCGCGGACACGATGGCGTCGGTGCATTTTTGTGAAGTGGTTTTCCAGTTTCTGTGAACTTTTCCGGGTGCGGAGGACAGCAATTTTCACGGAGGAGGTTCAACTTCGAGGTAGGAAACAAGAGGAAGTCGAATTCGGTAAAAGATAAAGGTATTTTTCACATATTTCCGAAAAGAACTGAACTCTCGTATCTGACGCCATTATCCATGCATACCTTGTTTGTCCGATTTGTAATTAAGAGCTTGTACAACTAATTTTCTTATGAATTATCGATCAATTTTAACCATTTCAATGTTTTCTATCGTTTTTTGTATGAATTATTCAATGGGAGTCGATTAGTATCGATAAAATGTTAACCTAGACTCGTATGGAACCTTGAACGGTACAATGAAATCTCATAAGAATATTAATTACTCTTTTAATTGTTGTTATTTGCATGGATTATCATGAGCTAACATTTTCAATGTCTGTCATGATATGAAATCATGCAAGTACTATCATGTACCATTCAGTAAATCCAATGAATCTATCACAACTTGTTTCGTTAAACAAGATCGAGCATTTGCATTCGTCAATAGGCCATGATTGACAAGAGTTAAACCTGGAATCGGTTCTAAACTAAATTTGTAGAAGCAGAATCTGGAATATTATTAATGGAACTAGGGCAATTCAGATTGGCAGGTAGAAATGGACAAGTATAATTTGATTAATGAGACTTCATCAGTGAATATTGATCACAAGATTATATATCCAAGCTAGATTAATAGCACGTATCGAATAGGGTATAATACTTGTGCCACTGGAATTTAATCAATAATTATGAATTACCTAATCGATATCAGTCGGACCCATTGAATAATTGATTTCGATTAATTCGATCAGTTTAATTCTGATAGGAAATTAATTCAATGTTTTGATGATATTCTATATTTTGCATAAGCCAATGATCCTCCGATTTTATAAGTGCAATCGAACTCCTGATTTTTATGCCATTTGGAACTGAAATATGATTTGAAATTTATTTTAGTCTATAAATATTGATGCGTTTTATAATCTGATGGGTATCTATTTCAAGTTGATATTTTGCATACTTCTATTCATTGTATGCATTCTTTGCACATGAACGAATATTACGTTTGTGCATTACATTTTATTCATTTATTAATTGATATGCAGTTTTTGCATAACCAATTTTTCTTTTGTGTGTATTGTGTTTAATCAGTTGTAAATTGATATGCATTCCCTTTTTGCATATCAAAGTGTATTACGTGGTAAAAAGTTCAGCTGGATGAATGAATCTGCAAGATGGTAGGTATGTTTTGTATTAAATAATCTGAGTCACGAATGAAGCAATATTCTGGCATGCTAAGCGTCCATGTATTACAAGAGAATTGATATTTGAAACGTTAATTCGCCCGTTTCAGCGAAACAAATAACGGTAAATAGATCGTTGAAGATTGCATTCTGCATGAAATTGCAACAGCGTTTGTTCATAACTAGATCGCAGATTTCTCTACAAAGCAAAACGTTCTAATTTCAATTCAAATAGAATCTAGATTGAACTTTCCTCTAAGAAACAACAATATGAATTGTATCTTTAATCCATGTTTCAGATCTCACGTTTTATATTCTTTGTCGAGTCTCTCATCGACTCTGCAGTTTGCTTGTGACACGACCAGCCCTAAATGAAGTTTGATACTTGCTTAGCAAAGTGTGTTACGATTTCGAGGTGTGCGAGAGTTTTTCACGTTGAAAAATAATGAAACAGAAGGGGTAACGAGGTTGCTGGGGATCAAAGTTAATTTTACACATTCAGCCGGCCCTGTAATGACGACCTTCGCCGCTTCTTCGCCGCGTTTAATGCCAACCTTTCTGTGCCAAAAGTGACACACGGAGGATAGAATTCTTTCCCGCGGTTGTAGCATGAGCTCATCGGGAGCACGCGTTAAAATCTATCGGTTTCCCGTCTATCAAACGATTTCATATTTATACATCCCGAAACGTTGACAAATTCTCCTGCTCTCTTTGCGTCGAAAACTGTACGAGCTGCACTGTGAAAAGTATGTAAATACGTATATGATATATGTTCCAGGAAATGAAAAGACAGATCTGTATGAAAACCGACGTGTACAGAGTGAAACGTAAATAGTCGTGTAAAAACGTAATGAAAAGAGGAGGATTTTTGTTTAACTTATGAGGGAACGGGAAATGTATTTGATTTGCGAGCGAATTGGACTCGAGAACGGCCGGTGGATTATTTTTATTCGCTATTTTTACGCCCGTGGCCTGTGCCATAATGTAAAAGGGGTACGCGGTTCAGCATTATAAATAATGACCATCGAAATCGATAAACAGAGAGATCGTCCGGGGAGTAAGAAACTGCTTTTGAAAAAACGAATGCCGCGTTCGAGCCAAGATCGGTTTTACTATGGTTTTATGAATCCGACGCTGTTCTCGTTGATCCCTGATCCGAAGCTTTTAACTAGAATGTCGTTGAACTTTAAAGATTTAGTTCTGGCCTCGACGAACTGTCCAGTTAATCAGAGTTATAGTTTTAACGATGGGAATTGTACAGGTTCTATCTTAAGACGATTCTAACAAGATTTATGTTGGATTCGATGAGGAATAAGAATGAAACGAAGTGGTTCGAAGTGAACAGTTTGGATTTTAGTTCGGGAGCACAGTTTGCCAATGTTAGTCGTTTGCCAACAAATTTCACGGTTTATTAACTTTGTCAAGCAGCGCGTCAAAGCGTAGTTCAACTGCGAGAGGCTTTACCGGTGAAATTTCGCGCTCGCGTACCTAACTGCTGCGAGGAAAGTTTTCCCGATGCGGTCGCCGACGAAAAGTCCGACTTCGATGCTCACTCGAACCTTTGCAATGCTAATTCAGCCAATTTGCAAACGGAATCGTCGTTTCTTCGGTTTTTCCCCTCCCGGCGACTGCCGTCAGGTATCCGCTTGTCCCGAAGAATTTCGTTAATTCCTCGCGGGGGAATTCCTCGAGGGTCGCTCCACCGCCCTTTTAGGCGATTCGATTAGGGGAAACTGGGACAGGGGTTCGAACTTCCTAAAGAACCTCTTTTCCAGCTCGTTTCCAAAAATTTTACCATCGATCCGTCAAAATCTTCGCCCCCGCTTTATCGCTTCCTAACAGATTTCGGTCGCTTATTAATAAAATAACTTTTTTAAACGTTCACTGTTATTAGAAATAGAGCCTTGTATCAAAATGTTTGGGAATTGGAACGGTTTCAGGCAACGAAAAGGTTAATACTGCATCCTTGTCCAATATCTCACATCGATTTAATTTATTGGTATATTTACGGGAATCGTTCGTATATATCCTCGTTCTCGCGCTTTGTCATTGTTTACTCACGCCAGATTTATTAATACCGTTCATCCCGCGAATAATTTCGTTTTAAAACACCTGATATTCGTTTACTGCATAAACATTTTTTACGTCGTGTTGAACATTAAACTGCCTCACAAAGGATGAAAAATTGTTTTCTTATAAAGAAGTACATTTTATTCCAAAGGGAGATACTTGCATTATTTATGAGTTAAGAGAATCTTCGAGAAGGAGGGATTTTTTATGTCTATTTGAAGCCTGTAGATTTTTTAATGATTCAGGTTTGAAGTTATTGGAGGATCGGGAATATAGGTTGCGATGAGAACTCACATTTGCTCTCACCTAATTTCAACTGGGAATAATGAAAAAAGAGATTCTTAATTAGAAACATGTTACGTTCAAAGAGCAGTTTACCGTTTCCCACTCATTTCTCTACTGCTGTCGAACCATTTTCTGGCTTAATTAAAAAACGTTACCAAACCCATGGTTTCATCTCGATATTTATACGAATTCACTCGCGAACCCATCCAGTAACTTTTCCTTTGGATGAAAATTGTAAAGATTGCCCGCAGGGATTGAAAAACTTTTTTGATTTACAATACCCGTTTCGAAGCCATGGGAGGTTCGGGCGAAGCCTTCCCGATGTTGCGTGCTTCGTCGCAATTAAGAGGATAATAGCAACTTATCAAATTTCACTTGGCATTAATCTCGAATCAGCTCTTAATTACCTCGCATGACTTATTAATAAATCACTTTGCGAGATATGGAATCGCTTCACATTTTTCAAGAAGATATTTAAATGATCATATCATCAAGAATCAGTATAAAAAGGCGATGTGAGAACAGTCTTAAAGAATTGAAATGATTTCTTTGTTTTAAATTTAAAACGAAAACTTCCTGTCTCGTTGTACACAATTTTATTTATTTTTGGAACCGATGATTCCGCGCGATCGCATGATTGCATGACAAACGAATGGGGAAATCTCGACGGTCACGAAACCAGAGGCACGATAAAAAATTTTTGATAACGCAACGTCGAGGGTGTTTCTTATGAAATACGACTCTTTAATATTTTCTCCGTGACCAAACTTGGACGAAGAAAAGTTCAGCGAACTGCTTAACTGATGTTAGGAAGGGTGATTCTGTGAAATGAGGTGCGGAAAGGTTTAAGCGATCGGATTTTTATGTGTCGGAAGTAGATCATTATTTATGGAAGGATATTCAATCGTGAAATACGATCTTTCAATGTTTCATCACTTAAAGTTAGGAGGAAGGAAATGATTTGAATAGTTCCATTTGTTCCAAGCAGATGTTCGAACTCCTTGGAATAATTGAACTAAATAAATCTACAAGTATGAACACGAATTCAGAAAATTGTACCAGTTGTTTGTAGGAATGTTGACCGAAATTTGGATACGCGAAGGGTGACCATCGACGTAGGAGAGTGAAGGCTGGGCGAAGAAAGACTGATAAACGGAACAGGGGAAAGCCATTCGACGGATTGTAACGATTCGAAGGGGAGGGAAATGGAATCCGGCTATTCGACAGCTGGCCTTTTTCGAAAACGGTAACGACGTAACGAAACTGCCTGGTATGGCTAGACCGCGCTTGTGTTTCGACGAATCCAAGCTAAAACGGCCGTAGTGCATGCTGTCGATACTTGAGAGCTCGTTCGCAGCCGTGCTGATAGCCCTTCCAACGTACATGACCCGTTTGGCTTAAAGCAGCCTTACTCCGAACAAAATCTTCAAACGGAAAATAAATAAAGAATCATTTCTTTCATTCGTCTTCTACAAGAATTTATTTTAAGGAATATATCATGTCTTGCAGAATCATTTCTTTCATTCGTCTTCTACAAGAATTTATTTTAAGGAATATATCATGTCTTGCAGAATTGAAGAAATGAATAAGGATTAATTTCTTCCACTTGTCTTCTATAAGGATTTATTATAAACGGAGCATCGTATCGCATTTTTTAAAAAAAAAATATACACGGATGGTAATTAAGGCTCGTTTGTTTTTGTAGCACTGGTCGATGAAAGATTGAAGGGACGTATGAATTTTACGCGACAGCTGTAACTGGCAAACGTTAAATACTGTGTGTGAACCACGAAACGAGTGTGGCTATAAATATCACCTGGTCTATTAGCGGAAGATGTACAGGCGGACGAGCACGTCTCGAGAACAAGCAAAATTGTGCACACCGTGTATAATGTAAGGAAGATCTGAGCAGAACCACTGGTCGTTAGCAGCGTCAGGGATGAATTTGGGAGTTTTCTATAGAAGGAATAATGAGGAAAAGTAGTATTGTCGTTCTGAGAGGATTTCGTAGAGGCTCCTTTAACAGGTATTAGATGTTCAAGTCGAAAACAATTTCCCATTGTGTGGGATTCAAGAGGAGTCGACTTAGACCGAGCCAAGGCAAGCCAAGAAGAAAAGGAAAACACTGAATATTGCATAAGAATGGTAGCTTGCCAAGATCCTAGAACGTATCGCACACTTTGCAGATCCAACTTCATGGATCGCTACGGCGATGTATAATATATCTTATATTTCTACGAGAATTTTCTCATCGACAGTCAAAGAAATGAATAACTAATTAAATAAGCAATCGGAGGAACAAAGGGAGTCTTTGTGCAATTACGAATATTCGAGACCATCTTGTAATTGCTTTCCTAAGACGTTCTTAAGAAGCTGATGAGAAAGAGTGGTACGAGAGATTACAAATTTGAATAGAAACCTTGGAACCATAGAAACAAACATCAACGAATGCAGTAAGAACTTTGATTATTCGAACTAAAAACCGTAGAACGAGTAGCGAGTCGTTCGTATTAACGATGTTTACACGCGGATCCGCGTCCTATTTCCATTTTGGAAAGCAAATGAAAAACAGCTCGGTGCACGTATCTGTGCAAAGAGATGGTCGATGGCTTTGTTCTTGCGACCGTTTCGAGGACACTTGTTAGACTTCCCGAGCTTCACTTTGAAACATTAATTTATGTGTTCGAGGGAAGCCTGATTATTATGTAGATCAGCCGCGACCGACCGTGTAACCCATTGGATTCGACGGAACAATCGACTTTCTTGCTGTACACGAGGAGATTGGATGCCACCCGCCAAGCAGCCGGAACTAATTCACCAGATTGGAATGTCTTTTCCCTTTTCGAGAACGAGACAGATCGATCCAGCTTCCCAAATACTTTTTATCTTCAATGGACGTTAAAGAAATAATCCTGTTTTTATCTGAAGCTAACTAATCGGATGATAGGACCGAGTCTGTGATTCTTTTCAAGAAACCTTGCTGGTTACGATTGAGAGACCAATATGAGATTACGCTCATGCTACTTTGCGGGAAACCCATGTATGCTTTTCAAACATAAAGTGTTGTTAGAACTTCTTTTGTGTCCGCTGCTTGAAGCTCGAATAGGAAAAACTCGGAATTGTTTTACCTGCTAGAAAAAGATACTTTTAATTGGACACTTATGCCTGAAGAAAAGAGAGTCGTAAGGGCGTGCCCTGCAATTAGTCAAGTAAAAGTTTGAAACGGAGCGAATACTTTGATAGGTCGTACACTTCGGTCGCATACTTTTTAATTGAGACAAGCTCTGTTATGCATTTCCAGGAAGATTTTAAAATAGGATTGAAAGGAGATTGAATTCTTAAGATTTTCTGTTCACGAAGGAAATTTATTGTACCGCGGGAAGATAAATGAGATGCTGAGTGTATTAAAGTCTTAATTTGTATCCCCAGGATTCTCGCGACATTTGTAACATTGCTAATCACAGTTATGATTGCCGTGACACTTTTAACTGGTCCGACGATCCTCTCGGAGCACTCGACATCCCGTGTAGACCCACCAGAAAGTTTTAAGATGATTACGTCGATCCCGATATGACATTTACAATTTTATTACAGCTACGCTTATAACTACCTCAACAACTCCTTCAAAGCGCGGATCTCCGGCTAACTAGCGCTCCGAACTTTCAAACAAGCGTCCCAACTAGCTACTAATTTAACACATAATAACAAAATTAACAAGCGAATATCATTTAATTAGAACGTGAACTTTAGGATTAATTATATATATTATTTAAAATATAGTTTTAAATAAATTACCCCTGTTCGGTGGAATCTCGTGGATCTCTTCTGAGCACGGTCGAAGGTAACGAATAAAAGGCCGATCAATAGTCCAACATATGAATTACGTAGCGACGTGTAACAGTGTTGTAACTGCGGGACAGCAAGAAAGAATAGTTTATCTTGGAGCGACGCGCACTCACACGAGGTACAACGAGCACGCGCGAGCATGAAACCAGAAGATCAGCAAGGCGCACGACCTCGCGCCACGAAGGCCCGCGCACCACTGACTCACTGCTCTCGTGTCGACGGCACGCGTTACCGTAGGCCGGATAGAAACACCAGTCGAACCAGGTGGGGATCCTTCAGCGTGCGCGTGAACACTATCGCAAGGGTGCTTACCTGTTACGAAAATATTTCACAAAACACATCTCTTCCTCTCGTCTATTTTGCCACAACGTCGCGTTCTCCAATTTGAAACGGTACTCATGAAATTCGTTCCACCCCTCGGGAAACCAGACCAGACAGTACGCTCTTCAGGATTGACCTGGGCAATATACTGAACCATATGGTACTCCAATTTGGCATGTTAGTTTTTATGAAACACATGCAAGATCGGATTTTATGTTTTTTGGGATTTGCTCGTCTCTGGAATATAGAGTACTTCGGTTTGGCATGTTTATGGGACAAATTTAGAGTTCATGGTTTGTAAGGAGTTAATGCAATTTTCCATAATTGCAAATGAAAATACATTTTTTCTCGCTATCACGTATAATTGTAAATGTCATATCGGGATTAATGTAATCGTTTGAAAACTTTCTGGAGAATCTACAGGGACGTTAAAGGCCCCGAGGGAGTCGTGACAAGTAAAAGTGTCACGACAGTCGTAAACAGTTATTAGCAATTTTACAAATGTCAGAACAAGAATTCTGGGAATACAAGTTGGCATGTTATAAGTTATGGAATATATTAGACGCTCCATGAACCGGTATTCAGAATTCATATATCAAAAAGAAGTTTCTTTGACATTTAGGTTTTAATAATTTAAAAACGCTCATGCTAACAAAATAAATTTTCTCCTGTCATACATTTTTCTGTTCCATTGTGATATCGCTTGGCATGTTTTTATTCCATTCCCCTCGAATCTATAATGGAATTTCTGTGTTCCGTGCGTGTCAGTTTTAATAATAACTGAAGTCTGTGTATTGTTAAAATAATTCTTCTTGTTGTATCGTACTATTATTTGGTTTATTTTAGGTGAAAAGATGAAATTTCAATGGATAATGATAGACGAGATATGTGGGAAGCGGAAGGAAAGCACAGGCTGCGTTCTTTCAACGCAGATAGGATGAAGCTTTTGCACCTGCCGGTGAATAGGATAAAAAAGGAACCGATGCAGTGTAGGGTAGACTGGCGTCTGAGGGTCCGGCGGAACTCTAGGCCACTCCTCGGCAGGTCGAGTGGGGTCTCCGCGAAGAGTGTATTCCGACGCGCAATCGAGCATAGAAGAAACCTGCACGCCAGCGACGCCCTTACTCCTATGAAAGGGTTGTTCCATCCCTTTTGTTTCCGCGGAATACCGAATGATATTAAAGTGTTTCGCGTTAGTACACTGAACCTACTTAGAAATTATAGTTATAGCCGGGTCACTCTTGTCGTTTTATCATCTATAGTTCTCGATCGAGTGACTTTAGCGTTATCAAAAATTCAATATAATGGATGCTGTCTTCTACCGCTTGGCAAAATGTTTTTGATCGATGCAGAAAAACTGTAGAAAATTTTATATATTTCATTGCATTATTTAAACGATTTTTGGATATTGAATCGTAGCATGTCTTCAGTTACTGTTGTTTTATTTGTGTTAGTAGTTGTGTAATTTAAAATTCCAAGTCCAATGATTATGGCATCTTTTTAAAAGTCTTTACTCTTCTGGTGGAACAGTTACGATTGTTAATATTCATGGGAACACCGGTTGACATTCCGAGTGCGAGATATTGCGTCTCTCAACCTTTCTTCCCGCGCAATTATTATTTTGCTCGATAAAGTTCTATCGACCGCAGTGGGACGCGCGTAACGATCCAGTCGGTGGAATAATGCATGAACGTTCCGTGAGATTACAATGTAACTAGAATCGAAGGCTGATGAAGGAACCCTTTGGCACCCCGCGTGTGTACCCCGAAACTAACATCGCAAGTGGAATCAAGATTTAATGATGCACCGTCCTATTAACCAGCGGAATAACGAGATTCACCTTTCCGCGCGATTTACGATCCGGAGTTTGATGCATCCGAGGTAGATCGACCTTGTCGACTATTTTTGAAGGACGCGTCTATAGTAATATCAATGCAGAGGCATTTAAAAAAGAAAAATCGGTCTTTTGACCAGAGGCGCGCGCGCGCGAGCGCTCGAGTTGCTTAAAAGAATTTTTCTAAGGATGGGTTTAGTGCTCACGGCATTTTGAAAAGCTCAAAAGGTTATGAGAAACATTCAGAGTCGTGTTCAATGTGTTCAATGTAGCGGAAGTAGGTCAGTAGTGTGTTTAAAGATACATTTCAAGAAGTGGCGGCGCGCACTTCTTGGCCCGCTGTGGCCACGCTTCCGTGGAGTCGATAAACCGTCACTTGAATGGAGTCTAATAAATATTGGCGCGGTCGTATCCTTTTTCTGAATCGCGAATACCCATACTTCCGCCGGATGCCCGTTTGTATTCTCGCGTCGCCAGATACGTCGGCTCGCCTCCCGTCATCGACCGATCGATTCTGTTATTTTTCTGGAACGTCGAAACGTTCTCTGCCAAAAAAGTTTCTTTTCAAAGAATCGAATCAGATTCCGAGCTGTACTTTCTTCATACCTTCATTTATTCTTGAAAGTTGAAACAAGAATTGTTTGCGTTTCGTTATTAAATGGAAAAAGTCTGAACCGTGACTCGGTGGAACTTGTTTCTGTTCAAGAGAACGAATGTTCACTTTCTCAAATTTTTATTTACTCGCTGTCGAAAGTTAAAGCAAGTATGCTTGTTTGCATTTCTTTGTTGAATAAAAACGTGGATGGAAGGGGTCGTTCCGGTGAGACAGGAGTTTTTCAACTCAATTAGGGGCTCTTTCGTCTCTTGCAGACAGTAATTAGGTAACTTCTCTGTTATAAAACTGTAACTAACTCGATAAGAAAAACTGAATAAAGGTCGCATTGTACAGTTTCGGTATTCAAACGAAAATTAATAATAGTGTTTCCGAGTAGAGAGTCCGCTTTCATCTTCAGTGTAAAGCTGTCGCCGCGCGCTAAAATGAATGCAGAAACCGGGGCAGTGGTTTCAAGAAGAAATAATCAGAGCCGGGGCTTGAATAAAAATATTAAACGGGTACAAGTGTCGGGTCTTTTAATAGTTCGTCTAACCCAGTTTCCCACTGGATTTTCACCGTCCATCGGGAACTCGTTGGCAATGAAATCGTGAATCGATCAGTTATTAACTGTGGATCATATCGTTAAAAATTATGACGCCTCGTTCAACCGAATATATGCGACGTCAGGAGATATGAAAATCGAATGGGCATTTATGGTCCGAAGCTCGAGGAAACGTGATACGATTTTCGAACAAGTAAATTATGAACGTTGATGGCACTTCGATCTGAATTTGAACTAACCGTACGTTTTGTTAAGAACGATGGTAGCAAAGCTTTAGGAGCTTGCTGGCCTTAAGATGCCTCTGGAAGTCTACAGTAAATTGGACGTCTTCAGAGCCTCGAGTCGTGACAAATTGGGGCTTGTTGACTCTGGGCGAAACTCTCGAGTCTTCAGTTCTTTAAAGAAGAAAATTGACTTTCCCTTGGAAGAGTTGAAGAGCGATGGGAAAAGGGGGAAAAAAAAAGGACGCAACGCGCATTACGCTGAATATGGAAAATTTTAGAATCTTGAAAGCCTCGTGGGAGGCACTCGACAGGGAATGGCTCTTATTACCAGTAAAAAGCTTTTGTCATGATAATTTTATTCCAAGGGATTTGAATGTTGAAATATTATTTAACGAATTATTGATGAAACGTTAAAATTCCGAGGTTGACAAAAGAGAGAGAGAGAGAGAGAGAGAGACACGTGATTCCGTCGATCATCACACCTCCACGTTAACAGCACAATTTTATTTTTCTCCTGATCTGATCAATACAATCGTACAATCGATAGATCATCTATTTTTCATCGTTTTTTTCTCACGTCCCTTTTAATTCTCGATTACACGGTGGCGCAGGCTGCTTCGTCGCGACGTCGTCATTGCGTCTGAATTCACACGAATAAGTAACGCTTACATTACACTTCTCATTACAGATTTCAATAATATATATATTTATATATTTATATATATAATATATAATAGGTATTTTTTTTTTTTAATATATTTCTTTATGTACAGAGGGCAGCTTGCCTAGTAGGTTTGTAACGCCGAGCGACGACTGAAGCGACCGACTCGACGCTCGCTCCTCCTTGCTCCTTTTGATATATAATTGACGCCAAATTTCGATGCACTTTTTTTTTTCGTTCGTCCTCCCACTGTCCAATTAATTGCAATCAAAAAACGATAATCGCCACCCGGTGGCGGGTTTTCGTTCGACGAAACGAATAAATTATTTAAGGATCTCCACGCAATTTGCATTGTTGCTCCTCGTGTGAAATTAATCGAAATCAGGTCGGTCGCGCGTTCATTTAACGAAAGTTTTACGGAGAACAAAGGGCGATTTTCTACGTGAACTTGCCCGATTCGAAAATGGGCCATCGACCTGCTGAGTCGCTCAATGCTCGACTCGTTCCACTTGTTCGAATTTAGGATCGATCCCTACTTATTGTCACGCGACCGTAAAAAAACCATTTTCCTAGCAATTTTCTTGTTCTAGGTTCAATTGGCCAACGATTCTTCCTCTACTGACTGGTGGAAAAAGTTCTTATCGTTACTTGATAGAAGCAAGTCCCTAAATGGAAGAAGACTGGCGAGAGATTCTCGGTACGAGTCGGCACTTCAGCCGTCGCAACAATTCTATTAACATCGTCTCAGGTGCCCGAGCATCGAACGAGTCTTCGAGGATCGAAAAGTTTCGTTTTTCTCATTATCTTTTTTTTTTTTAGTTTGTTTTCGCTTGTTTTAAAGTTGTGCATCAGAATCGACGTCGTCGAGAATAGGTTCGAAGGAGAACAGCCTCCGGGAAATTAGTTCCACTATAAGAAGAAAGGAAATCCCATTGAATACAACACGTACAGATAATATTTCGAGTTTTTTCTCTCTCGTTCTTCACGACCAGAGCTGCAATTTTCGACACTGACACGCCTCGTCCGTGAAACGATCCTCCACCATTGGAATAAAAGTTTCAAAAATATATACACAAATTGGTAGAATCGATCGATCGAGGTTCTGCAATGTAACAATTGTCTACAAATGAAATATGGTGAAGCAGAAGATCCTCTCACGGCTCAGAGGGCTGTTAGAATACCCAACTCACACTTGAGAAAGTAAAGTTCACACGTAAAGTGGAGCTAAGTTCGATCTATGCAAAGTGCAATGAAGTTCGATGTCTCCTGTTGGATTTGATTATTTCCCAAGCGTAAATTGAGCTCGCGACACGCTCCTTTCTGTTTAACCACGATTATCGATTCGGGTGCGCTTGAAATCGTCAACGATTACTATTACCTAGACAACTGTGCTCTTTTGAACGTCGACAGTCTCGCCTGAGAGTGTCTCAAAAGAGCAGAGCCGTTTTCTTAAAACAATCTCGATCTTCTCGTCATTGGAATGCCTCTCGCAACGAAATCCTTCGAATATTTTAAATAAAGGGATAATCGTGTCATTATTGTCCATCTACCGTATGCCTAAATTTACGAAACCATGGAAACAAACATCGAGTACGAAACGATATATAAAAAATTGCATTCGCTAGATATGTTTATTCTTTTTAAACGAAAAGATACTCCAATGAGAAGGGTGGACGTCCAGCGTCGTACGATTCTCGTCGTCACGACGGTGGCTTATCACATCCAACGATTTCCCCGTCGAACCAATAAAAACCAGAACAGTTGCAACTACTCGCAATCGGACTCCGATTAACTCGACGGCACCTCCGCGCAATCAGGCTACGACCATCATACATATTCTGCACGCGTGCAAGGCGAATCGTGCGACTTCGATCAGTCCCTCGTCACGTCGTAAGTGAAACGATCCGTTTGTTTAAAAAAATTTATACAACAAATCAAACGGGGACTATTATTATGAACGCCCAACCGATATACATTCTATCGGACGATTCTATTGATCTCTGAACTTTGTGATTGCAGTACGCTGGTTCGAATGATTGTGCCGACGGAGCTCCGCGATTCACCCTGCGCACGTACGCGTTTATGTGCACATATATAAATATATCGATCGAGAAAGGAGGGAAGAAAAAGAGCAGAACGAGGTACGGCCGGAAAGGAAATGAACAACGAGAACCGACACTCTACGGCCAGAGTTGTCACTCGACCTTCCTCCTCCATTCTTTCTCGCTCTCTTCTCCCACGCACACGCACAGGTATACACTCTGGGCACACACGCATACATAGCCACGTGCACAAGCGTTCATGTACAGGCATACACGCGATTCTAATATTTCTTCATCGTATCCCTTCTCCTTTTTATTATTATTATTATTCTTCTTCTTGTTCCTTCTCCTCTCCGCGTTCTTAGCAATTACAGTTGTCGACCGCCGGGTTGGCGGGCTGGTCGGTGAGACGTTGACCCTTCGCCTGGCCCATGCCGCCGGCGATCAGGGTCGGATCGTTGTCCAGGGATTCGCTCATCTTGTCGCATATGATGTCCACTAGCTGCTCGAACACCGCCTGCCAATAAACATTCCCATCAGTTCATCGCTTTCATCACAACAAATTAATTATAATTCTCTGATAAAATTCGCCCACTTTTATCGTTCCGACTCGTGCCTGGATTTAAACATAGCTTTGATCTGAAATGCGTCACGGTTTCAAGGCGAAGAGAACCGCGGGGTAGGAAATCGATCGGATGTCGACGTGTCAATGCCAATATGGTTCGTCGTGGGAGGGTGATTAATGGCCGCAAATGAACGGTAATCGAAGATGCTTGGTCGGAGGTAATGGCGATGTACATATACTTCGCCGATGGAAATGAGCGTGGAAATGCGATAACCTTTCCCTACGTTAATGACACGCGACTGGCTTGCTGCCCGGGATAATAGGCCCGGTAAACAGACTGAGGTAAAGTCCGACTGCGTCCTTTTTTTAATCTTCTCTTTAAGTGTAACCGTGAGCTTGTTCGATTCTCTTTCTTAATCTCCTTCAGTAAGTGAAGAATGAGTTCTTAGAAGTTGATACTTAGTTAAACTTCAAAGTTTTATAGAATTTAATCCTATGTTAATGCACGGTGCATAAACTTTCGTAAGTTTACCCCAGCACGAGTTCTTGAGTCGTTTAAGTTAATCATTTTCTTGGGAAAATGTCGGTCTGGAGTTTCATTTTTTTTTTTTTAAGTATAACGAGGAGCTTGTCCCAATCATTTTCAATTTTAGCAAGAATCCTTAAATCATTTAAGCCATTCGTCTTCCATATGATAGCTCAGTTGATTTACGGATTAATACCTTAATGTTAACGTTCTCTTTGGCAGATGTCTCGAAGAACTGGACGCCCAATTGGTCCGCCAGCTGCTTGCCCCTGTCGGTGGTGATCACCCTCTCGTCCTCCATGTCGCACTTGTTGCCAACTAGGATCACTTGTGCGTTGTCGCACGAGTAGGTTTTGATCTGCGTGATCCAGTCTTGTACCGAATTGAACGACTCCTCGTTCGTAATGTCGTACATCAGAATGAAGCCCATCGCGCCTCTGTAATAGGCCGTCGTTATCGTCCTGTATCTTTCCTGGCCTGCCGTGTCCTGAAACAATTCAAACCTTCGTTCAATTATTCTATATACAAATTTTCATATCGACAGAATTAATTGATAGAAATAATCCACATTTTTTATTATATAATTGAATTGAAATTCTGATGGAAGTTTTGATAGAAGATTAATTGAAAAATTGCATTGCGTAACTGTTATTAGTTTTGCAAGTACAGCCGGGGAACATGTTTCATGCAGGTGAAACAACAAACTGTCGTAAATAAGGAATGCACACGTGCGATAATGCACGACAATGGATTCCTCTGTTGCTTCTCCCGCATGATAAATGAAGCCACGTGTAGATAATCACACCGCGCCGGTGAAAACTGAATAAACGTGGCCAGCTATATTTAGTTATCAGCTGTTTTTCAGCTTCTGAGCTAATTAACCGCGATGCGACGAACGAGTAACATCCTTTAGATAATTCAATTGCCTGTCCAGTGAACGTATTCTTTTTTTTTTCTACGATCATTCTTTTTAATGGTATAATCGCTAAGGGGATGGTATATAAGTAAATCTGTACTGACCCAGATCTGTAGCTTGACCCTTTTATCGTGTCTGAAGACCGTTTTCACCTTAAAATCGATCCCGACGGTCGATACGAAGGCCGAGGTGAACGAATCGTCCGCGTAACGGAAAAGGAACGACGTTTTGCCGACAGACGAGTTCCCGATGATCAGCAGCTTGAACATGTAGTCGAAGTTTTGGTCCGCGGCCTCCTTCTGAAATTTTGGATCCTGGCCCGCCATCTGTTAAAAAAAATTAAATTCCTCAATACCGAACGATCACGTTAATTTCGCACGTTATCACAATCTCAATATCGATTCATTCATCTGCGAAACGGGATCAAAGTCGACACCTGTTCGTTAGAATTCTACGAATGATCGATGCACACTCGCATCGGTTAGCTTCACATTCTCGCAGCCGAGTTTCTGTAAATCCTGCAAACGGGAGCCCCATGAACTTTTTCAAAGCAAACCTCACGCGATCGCGGATCGACTCACACTACCCGCAGTATCGCGACGAGCGAGGAAGCACACGCGTACCGGAAGCCTGTTGTGCGGAGTGATTTCAACGATGGACATCATGCGAGCCATCCTCGTCCTGAGTTCCACTACCGAGTCCTTGACCGGCGGCCTCGTCGAGTTCCCTGACTGACTCTTCGAATTCGCACGCATACCGATTAGAATCACGAACACGACTCGTTTCGATTTGTCAACAATTATTTCAACTAACGTCGCGAGATAGTTCAGTGAAAAAATGGTCGATAACCGTCGATCATGACAACGTGGCGGTAATTGCGGTCGAGTTTCGTCGTTTTCCGGGTCCGTTCGTTCCTTGCTATAAGTCCTTTCGACTATCGCGGTTTCTTGATACGCGCGAGCCCGCCCACGCAGGGCCGGGACGCGAACGGTACCGAAGAGGGGCCATCATACTATCGTCGCTCGCTTCCCATTAATTGCAGTCATGCTATTTTATTGACGTTAAGCCAAATAGACCGCGAGGTAATACCAACGAACGCGACACAGCTGTAGCCATAACCGATGGCATGATCGATATTCCCACAATGGGGACAGTCGTACCGAATGACACGTGCCCGCGGTCTGGTGTAGCCGCGATTCATTGATCCTACTGACGTTCGCCGGAAATTAAAAATAGGAACAAAACCTGAGTAGAACAATCGAGTTAATTAACGCGTTCGTTGAATAATCTACTATTTCTTTTTATTCTTCCAGAATTTTAATTAGCCTGATTAGAACAGTGCATCATAGTAATTTAGTTGTTAATTATATTATCGGAGGTTTCACGTAATTCTTCTCTTTTAATTTGTACGAGATGTACTTTGAAATGTTGAAAGCTTTGACTCGTTAGTTGACAACTGCGTGCTTCCTGAACCGATAGTGGTTCAGTTCCACGTCCGTGACTTTTTCCGGGCACCAGGTGCGGCTCTCCGTATCGGAAACCCGCGTGACGGAGTATTCGTTTGTACAGACGAGGATGGAAAAGCATCGCGATTATGGTAATAATAGAAATTGCAAAGAAATTGAATAATTAAAAGTTGGTCTAATTGAAATCGAACCCTACGAGTTCCAAGAATGTTGATTGTTGAAAAGTTGAGATAAGCTGATGATAAAGGAAAGCCTGGTGAATGGAGGCTGTGATTAAAATTCATTTAACCGACCATCGACTATTATACCGATCACGTTAATTAAGTGACACTTAGAAGTTCAATTTAAACCGACGGATCCTGCGTTAAATTAAACGAAGTGATTAGCGGCCGCGCGGCTGGTAACTGGAGGCTGTGATTGAAAATAATTGATCGGACGTATGAATGAGGCGGACACAACGGAGTCAGCTGCCACCTCCGGTGCGGTTACGCGCTGAAAATAAGTTTTCGCTAGCGGTACCGATTTATAAATAAACTTTGACGCGGTGGCATAGACACTGCGAACTTTTTCACACCGTGCCGGGAGGTTCTTATCGATTTCACGCTCGACTCGTGACGGCGACTCGAGATCTCCCTTGGAATTCAAGTCCTATCATTTCCGCCTGATTTATTTCTAGTCGTTAGCTCGTCGATCTAAAAGCTGCCGCCTTTAAAAGAAAGAGAACAGCCCACCCTCTAGACGTCTGGCAGACGGCTAATAAATAATCAATCCCATTCGAGTACCTCCTCGTTCACACGTTCTTCCCTCCAGAAAGAATTCATCGATGAATGTGGAAAACATGAAACGGAAGTTCGACAACCTATCGACGATATCGTAGGACAGGTGAAAGAGAACGTGTCAGTCGCCTACGCATAGTGTCCCAAAAGTTGAGGCAAAAAAAGTGGGACAAGGCTCGTGATAATCGTATCGTTCTACGTTGCTGCACACGCGACTGCACCCGATAAAGCGTCACACGAAATTCAATGAAAACCTGATACAAACAACCAGCGAACGAATCCATAAAATAGTCTCAATTTTTCCTAACTTCCCTCATTGAAGGACATTGATATAATTTATCGACGGAGTATTATGAAATGAAGTGATCGTTCAGAAATGAAAGGATGAATAGGCGTCGAGTTTGAATACAGAAGGAATATTTGCTTAATGCTGTTTCATACTGTGTGTGAAAGATCCCTGCGATGAAATCTTTGAAGCGCCCGTCCCTTTCCCGCAGTTAATGCTCTTCACCGACTCGCACCAGCCTTTGTGCTCGCTTGAAAAGCCCCTCAACCCCAGATACGTTCAATTCCTTCAACTAAACGCATCAAAACATTAAAACGAAACGAATAATCTGAAAGAGCGTCTACCCCTCGGGAGAATAACGATCCGTTCTAAGGTAATACATGGCGAATCCTATGCCACTGGTTTACCTGTTGCCTCGCTCTAACATTATTTCAATTAATTTTTGCAGCGTTATTCAAACAACCATTGTACGTCCTTTAATCTTTAAACCCCTGCGAGGTACATGTAAATCCGAGCTGACAAGAAGAGAACATATGTTACGAGAAGAGCAAACAACATCTGCGAGTCGACCGCCGGTTCTTAGGAATTACACGGAGGCCTGTTTTAATTCCTCAAGATTGGCGAGCGGAGGGACGAAAAATATTCGGTAAAATGGCGGAAACGTGAGCGAAGAGCGTGGAACACCCTATTACGCCGCGCCATGGGGGTTGATCGGTGCTCGGCGCCGCGGGACAAGGGGGTAGCAACAGAGCAAATATTTTTGGAAGATCGATTCCCAACCCCTGACCACCCACGCCGCTCGTTACACAGTTTCGATTTCAGTGGCTCTCCCAGAATGAACGTACAACGGAAGATGGAGCCTCTGTATGTGCACGTCGTGACGCTCGAATCTGGATCCCGAAAACGAACCGTGTACAAATCGATACTTGGAATTTCTTCGCCGATAACGTCAATCAACGCTCTCCGTGCCCGGATAATTAGCTCGTCGGATACATCTTTGGACTACACGCTATACGCGGTTTCGCCTGATCACAGCTGACATATATGCGTGTTCATCAGGGTAGGAGAGAGGGAGAAGAAGGTCACACATCGCCACTGACAATCGGCCGCAGAACTGTCAAAAGACACCTAAATAAACCGGGTTCACGATGGAACATACTTCTCGTTACCGTGAGACAGACGCGAGACACTGGCGATGAAGAGGCTGCTGTTCGAGCAGTCAGAGGTATACAGTCGGGAACGGAGGATATGCATGAGCGAGCTGCGTGAAAAGTCGGCTGAGAGGCCAGCGTGAGAGAGGAAAAGCCACAAGAGAGTGGGAGAGAGAGACGGAGGGAGACAGAGAGAAATCAATAAGTGGTCTATCGACGGACCGTGGCTGCTCGTAGGGAAAATGCTCTTAGCCTCGGAAAATCTAGACGATCAACGTCGAGCCCGTGTCCCACCGGAGTTTTCCCCGACGACTACCTCGTGAATTCGTCGATCCTCTCAGGGTCGGTGGGTAACGTCTAGCAGGGGATGCACTCGGCCCCTGAACGCTCGCTGACGACGATGGACAGTGTCTCCGGGACAGAGAATGGAAGCAGCGAGTCCGGCGGGTCCGACACACGACGCGACGCACAGCAGCACAAACGGAAAGGGGTTGTTTCGCGACGATATTAAAGAGACTGGACTGGCCTCGGTAAAGCCTCGCGCCACTGTAGCCCGCTATAGCTTAAATATCGACCATTTCGTGGACCCCCGCCCGTCCTCGGACCAATCGCGACGAAGGCCGGCGCCTGCGCTACGGGCAACCCGACTGACATCTTCAACCTGTTCCCTGAAACACCACGGGGGTGGTCCAAGGAACACTTGTTGATTTTTCGTTTCTCCCGTGTCTACGACAATGCGCATAATCGTACAATAAATTCCGGATCGGGTTTCTGACTTTGCGACCGCTGGCAATGCGGCGGACGACAGAGTGTTTAAACACGAGATACTTTTCATCTTATGGCCTCCTGTGTCCTGTAACAGAAGGGGTGCACGAGTAGACCATGCCGATATTAAATATCAAACCTGATTCGAGGTCTCTCTCTTCATGAATAATGATGAACTCATACATACGTAATATAGTTCGTTTGTGAACATAGCAACCGAGTTTGTTTATTTCGTACACGACATGGATTCGGTCTACTAGCAAATTTCGAAGAAATAATGATTATTCTGTTTATTGAAAAATTAATGTTGTAAACATGTTTAATCTCCGTGACACGAACGTCGTTTACGTGAAAGAAAAGAAAGTACACGAACTGGGAGTAAATTGCGAAGTCGTGAAACCGACGCATTCCGGATGTCACACCGGCAAACCGAATTTCAGGCAGATAGATTATTTTGTAACGAACGACAAGTAAGAATTGAATTCCCTAAAATCGCTGAATATTTATAGTTTGAAGAAACGTCAGAGCACGGATAAAGTATCAGATGTGAAAAGAAGGAAGTTGAAGAGGAAGAGGTTGAAACTGAGGCAGGTGTCTAAGAAGGTCGTCAACGTCGTCAGTATCCTCCGACACAAGAATTTTCTTGACGTAGTAGATTTATTTTTCAAACCAACCCCCAAGCATTTGCCAAAATCCGTGGAGGAAAATCCCACTTGCAAAATTATAACGTCGAAGAATTCCGAAAATAATAATTGTAGCTCGGGTAAATAAAAATTGGCGTGGAAAATAATTAGTATTTTATTGTACGTTTGAAGTATGAACACATTTTCACGAAACAGCGTTAGCTGATTTCGTAATATCAAAAACAGGGGCGGAAATATTTTATAAATTCCACTATTATACATATATTTGGATGAGATAACTAAGTTACAAGTAATAAGTCCTGTTACAAAATTAACAGCTGTCCACGAATAGAAAACTTAAAGAGGAACATTCTTAACAACGTCACACTGCGTCTCTGTGAAACGAAATCTCCGTTTCATTAGAAATCAAAGCTTGCTTTCGGTGTCGTCGTAAATCACAGCCGGATTGGTGGCAGCCCATTTTTCCTTGTTCTGTTGCTCCTCTTTCTTAGGCCTCGTCTTCAAGTTTTGTATACCAGCGAAGTGTTCCTCGATTTCATTCAAAGTTCTACCCTCCGTTTCCGGTAGTATAAAGTATAATAAAACACCACCGACGAAGTTGATCAACGCGTAGAAGAAGAACGTCCCAGCTAAGGACATTCCATTTACCATGTACAGAAACACTTTGTTCGCAATGGAAGTGAAGACGTAACCGATGGAGCCTGCCATCCCCGTTGCGCTGCTCCGTAGCTGATATAAACAAGAGAGAATTTATTTTATGCGCAAAGAATCAGATAAAAATTCGACTCACCTTCACAGGGAAGACTTCACCCGCTAAAACCCACGGGAGTAACCGAATGCCAGTATGAGACAAAAAGGCGGCTCCGATCATCAAAGTAGCCGGCAGCCAAGTAAGTTGATGTTTATTGATAAGATCAGCATCTAATATATTACTGTCGTTTAAATATCCATAAATAGCTGTCAATCCAAAGCTGAGACCAGTGCCACCGATGGAGACGAAATTCAGCAACCTCTTGCCGGTGAAATGGATAGCAATCACGCAGATCAGTGTGCCAAGCAACTCGGCCAACCCTAGATACACTGCAGCCGAATACTCTTCAATGGGCGCCTTTAGACTCATAAAGATCATTACGGCGAAGGTTTGAAGAGTTATGGTACCGCCGAACGCGCCGATGAAGAACGCACACGTGACCAAAAGGAACGGTGTATAGAAGGTGCGTCTCCCGAAGGCTTTCCAAATTGCTTCTCGCGATTCTGCAGGTTTGTAGACTTCCTGGCAGATGGTCTCAAATTCGGATTTCACTTCAGCCGGTCTCACCCAGCCGCGCAGCCAGCAGAGAGCCTTCTCCGCCTCTCCCTGACGACCTTGCGCTACAAGAACCATCGTTCTAACTCGTGACGTGAGATAAAAGTTTTTCATTCGATTCGAACGACGAAGGCTTACCGATGAGCCAGTAGGGACTCTCCGGTACCATACAGAGTACCACGAAGCAGATTAATGGATACGTCAAGTTGACCAAGGACACGGTCCTCCAGTGGGCCAGTTTACCACCCAACATTTGCGTGAAGATCCCCAGGATGATCGACATACTCGAAGTCGCTGACAGCATGCCTCGGAGATGAGGCTGCGTGACTTCCGCGACGTAAGTCATCACAGGAGCTTCCAGGAGGCCTCCGGTCAAACCTGTCATAGCCAACGCGATGAACAGCATCCCGGTAGACGTGGCATAGTGAAATATGATCCACGCTGCTATGAAAGGGATGGTGGTCAGCATCATAGTCCTCTTCCTTCCTAACATCTGCGATATCGGTCCACTGACGAAGCAACCGATTGGGACCAGAAACAGGTTCAGGCTGCCTGGATTACAGCAGAATTTCGTCCCTTGAAATTTGGTCGAGAACTTCAAGGGTGGTAGAAATAGAAATAAATTAGACGCTCACTGATCCACGTTAAGTCCTCCATGCTAACTGAAATCTCCGAACTCGGCTTCTGCAGTTGAGGGATTAGGATCGTGGAAAAGCCTAAGGTAGAGCCGAACGTGATCATCAAAAGATTTTTCGCGCTCACCGCACAAAATTGCGGTAACGCTTGACGGAGCTTTGATATAGGAAAGGTCTCGATGGTGCCATTCAATTCGGTCGGCGTCGATTTCTCACCGTTCCTAAAACGAGAGAAAGTAAAAACTCGCGCATCTTCTAGCGAGAGTAGAGTTAAAAATTTTATGAGCACTCGGTAAATATTCTCAAGGGAGTTTGAAAAGTATAAATATCTGCAATTTAATTGCTCGGGCTAAGATGTATTATTTCTGAATGATTTAAAGTCGACTCGTTTGTTACGACGGTTCTAATAGATTCAAGGTAGAGTCTACGAGACGAATGTCATGAATGCAGATTGATCTATGATCAACGAGATGATCGATTCGGGTCAGCCACGCGTGGCACCCAGCCCTGGGCCCTCGGTTCCATTGAACATGATTTTTTCATTCTCGAACTGGGTCGACAATATAGCCACGCATGTTACTTAATCAGTCGCGTTCCATAGTATCAAATAGTCTGACAGATTTCTATGCAAAATATAAAACGATGCATTTCAGTTTGAAAATTATATCAACGTTTGATATTTTCTGAAATTTGGTACAAAATATGATCAAAGTTCATCACGTTTCCGCTAAAAATTGTTAAATTTATTATCGCAGAGTACACCGTACGAGTCAGGGATTTACGTTAGGTTTTCGTCATTGACACAGTTCTCAACGTGAAAGGAACCACGGCCTGAACCGTAGTTACATAAACGCGGTGTACGTTCTCTTTGCGTAATTTTAAAGCGCGTACTAGTTCCGAGTGAACAGAAATCAGCTTTATGGCGTTCGGATTCCCCATTAGGAACCAAGCCCCCGGGCATTGATTACGCAATAATCGATGCAGCACGCAAAAGTGGCGCGTAGAAAGATAGGAATTACATGCATTAAAAGATTAGGCTAAGGCTAAGTCCTAGAGTATTGCGTTGCATTAACGATAAATGAACATTTCGTTGGAACACATAATCCTCAGTTTTATAGAGACTTAAGGATGTATTGGTTATACAATCAATCCTAAAATTTTATGTTAGAAAAGTTAAAAAAGTTGCGTTAGAAAAACGCATTTCTTATAATTAAAAATAGTGCATTCTTCTTCTAATTTCGATATTTAATGAGTTAAG